TTTATGAAGGCACATTTATTTTGCACTGTTGTATTAGAGTGGTTTAGTTTTATCTGGACTACTTAATGACCTGACAAATAAGTGTATTGTTCTAATTTATGGTGCTAATATTTTGTTACAGAGCAAGCCTCTCTGTTTGTATAATCTGTAAGCACCATACTGGATGTGTCATTGTAGTACACAAAAACCAAACAACTGTCTCAGTTATTGTGAGTGGGAAAGGTCGGTTGAAATCGGGTCACTCCACGAAATTTATACAGTACATAGAATTTACATGCCATGAGGAGCACTACTTCAGTGAAAATCGTTAAATAATCTCTTCAGTCGCTCCTAGAGGGTGTTTTCCTTTTTCGAAGGAAAACACAAGACAAAATAACCATAATATCTTCAGAAGATTTAGCAGGCAGAGGCCTAATGATGGCATTAGCACTCAGTAGCATTTTTCCACCAAGGGAACTTAACAAGAGGTAGCCTGGCGCGTTCCATACCTGTAGTCCAGTGGAACATGAACAGCTGATGTGGTCCATTCCACTTTGCTTTTCACTGCATTTTCCCTGAGTCTGTCACTATTTACAGGAGGGCAGGGCCTCTGAGGGCAGCTGAGCAGTTTATCAAACAAGTATAAACTTGCTGAAATGTGACATCTTTGCTTCTTTACCTGCAGTCCACTCACTGAGGTCCTTGTTTAAAGCAGTGCTACCTCTTATCCAGTATGAATGTATGTACATGTGCATGTAATGCCAATGCTTGAGACGTGACGACACTGACAAGACCGATGACCCGTGCAAATACCTGAATCTTGATTTTGTACTACCTCCTAATGGGTGCCAAAATGCACTGTAACTCCAAAAACTTGTTTCCAGTAGTGTTTCTAGTACGTGATGTACTTGATTTATATTTCTGACACATACTTCGCTTGTGATGGTTAGATACTTGTTAAAGAAATATGCTGATATTGTATATTTTTCTAACTGCGAGAAGATACCATTAAAAGACAAAACCAACACTGAATTTATCTTACTAACAAATATTGTATGTGAATTCAAAGTCTGATACAGCATCTTATTTTTGTGCCACTGAGCTCCACTATTGTCCAACACCTATTAAAAACACATCACTGAGCCACACTGTTGCACTAGGTGGCATGTTACTTCATTACTGCGAACGTGGGCACTGTAATTTATTTTCAGCCGGTTCCACATACACCGTCTTGCTGCTGTAAATACTCACTAGGGAACCAAATGTGGATTAATCCATCTCTGAGAATTGTTCCCAACAAATGCATTATTTACCAATATTTGAGTAATGTTTGATAAAAAGCACGGTGGCCCAGTGTTTAGGGAAATTACTGAAACCCTTTTTAATAGTGGACCTATGTGTTTGTGCCCCTTATCTAAATGTCATAACTACGACCCACTGGGCTTGAGGCTGAGAGCCACAGACTGGTAAGGTACTGTGACCCGCCACACAACATAAAAAGACTACCTCTGCTGTTTTGCACAAACTCAGTGCATTCCCCCTTTGTTATATTATATGAAAATCTGCTGGTGACTGTTTTTTTTACCATCATATCTGCTGCTGTTGGTCATTTGCACTGCTGTCCATGTACATTTTCATAAGCTATTATACAGCTCATCACCAGATGCTGACCATCTGACAATGTTCTTGCTATTATTTGCACTACTGTCACTGATTATACATAGTTTTGAGTCATAGCCTATTAGGAGGTACCATTTAGTTTTATCCTAATTACTTTAATTTAGCGTTCTTATGCTAATTTATTCTATTTTAGTTTCTTAAATGGTATGGCATTCAATATTAGGTGAGAGACAAACACTATTTTGATTTTTCTGTATGACCTACACATATAGTGAATTGACAATAAAAACCTTTGAACCTTGGACAACATACTAACAACATAACATTACAGTAAAACCACAGTTTTAGATGAAAACAAGCCTTGTGGCAGCTCCATTTTTCCACTAAAGTAATTACAAAAATGACACATACTGTGGGACAAATGAAATTCATGATTGAAGTGTTGACAAAAATCATGACATTCAGTCCCTAAAGCTGAATAGGCAGCAGCCTGCTAACAGCTAAATAGCTAACTTATATTGAAAGTTGTTTGAACTCTGGTAACATTATGCCTGAGACACCTTAGCAGGTGGAAAAAGTGTTAGCTTGCTGTTATCTACTGTAGCTAGGTGACTGGAGAGCGCCCCATTTCCACAGCAGATCCAAAACGAGGTCATAATAATCAGTAATCATCAATAAAACGAACATTGTTTCAATATCTATTAAATCTAGCCTAAAATATCAGTTCTTATCTGCTAAAGCACGTCCATCAGGCTTCAAGAAAATCCCTAATGTGTTTTAGTGCCACAGACATCAAATCATTACTGCATCCTCCATTAATCAGTGATGCTATCTAGTACTCCAAAAGGTCCTACAGGGTCCTGTTTATGTCAGCACTTAAAACTGACTGTTTGGAAGCATTATCTGTGCATTTTGCTATATTTGTCTTACAGCATATTAGAACCAGGTACAAGAAGCAAACCGGTTTGTCATTTATCTTAATGGCTTATTTATTTGTACTAAATGCCAGGAACAGATTATGATAAGCATGGTGCATTACTTTTTTTTTTATGGCAACAGCGATTGTTTGGGAATTTCTGTTCAGGGTGTGGTGTAATAAACAGTCTTCTAAGACACCTTTTGTGATATACTGGGTACAAACAAGCTGCTCCAAAAGACCCCCATATTTAAAATCAGTGTTTACATTTTGCAAAAACCTAATGCTCTTGGAATTCAAACAAAAACATTGCAGCTTGATTTGTAGTGTGAATAATTACTTTAAATATATCCTTACCGTATGTGATGACAATAATTATGGTTGATACTTTATGTGTGGCATGCAGACAATCTAAATAAGTCAGACAAAGGGATTAGATAGAGGCAGTGTCTCATCACAGAAAAGTTCACACAACTAGACAGAAATGTTGAAACTTTCTTGCTTTAAGATCAAAACTGAAGACCTGGGAGTCACTGGTCTCTTGGGAACAGCTCAGATGTGTGTTCTCTGAGCCAATGACACATTTCTCCCCCCAGGAGGACAAGTTAACTCTTGCTGCAACTCAAAGCTCAGGGCTTTCAATATGGAATACACCAATCTCCAAGAGAGACAAAAACCAACATCTGATGCAAGAGATTCACAAAGTGAAATGGGTGGAGAATAAAAATCTAAAATTCAAATAGTTTCATGTCCTCTTTATGGTGTGTTCTTGGTGACAAAAGCTGTAGTCATACATCATGGTTTCTGGTGTAGGACTCTTTTAAGACTACTCTAGTAGCAGAGATGTTTCACTTGAGGTTGCAGTACCAAGCAAAGTAGATAGACCTTCTCATTTAGTGATGAAAGATTTGGGGGGAAAAACAATTACTCTGGGAAATATGTATTCTAAGGACATGTTGCATCACTCAGAATGACCTCTGTTATATTTTGTTGTGTCTGAGTAGAGCAAGTAAACTCCTCAGATTACAGTGAAATCTCTGTGTGAAAGTCTTATTTGTAATTAAGTTTTGCCCACATGTTGGTTCTAACTTCCTCATTTTATATTTTGTGCCTGGGTGTTTGTATCCTGACTTTATATGCAACAGCATGTCATACATGAAAATTCATATCCTTTCCATTATCTCCCCCAGCATGCTTAATGTTAATAGAAATGATGGGAAATGAAAGTGAATAGGCTTAACAGGAACTAACAGCCATTGTTTATCTCATCTGATTCATATTCAAACAACTGTTCCTGGATTCGATCCACTGTAGCCAGCACCTTGTACATGTGATTCAAGTAATGACTTGTATTATTATTTTTGAAGTGTTAGTGATAATATTCCATGACGAATGCATGTGCCCACATACAAATCCACAACAGGTCAAGTGCCTGTACTCTCAGGCTGAAGTCCATCACTTTGTCAATTCAAGAATGACAGGCAGATGCACACATAAGCACCAAGAGGTACTTTCTTTTATGGCCTGTTTATTTGTCTTTCAAGGAGGATATGTATTTTGATTTATTTTGGTCACACTAGTTGAAGCAGTATCTCCAGTAGTTTTACTTAAAGGACTTTGTGTACTGTATTTCTGTCATCAGTATGTCTCTGGCATAAAGCTGCTCTGGTCTGACTTTTAATAATTTTACTGAATGAATTTTAGCATTTGCCGAGTGCTGATAAATGACCAGAGGACAGATGCAGATGTTTGCATCACCCAGTTTTTGTGATTCAGCTGAATAAGACATTGAAATGCCAACAATGAAGTAGAGCAGCTCTGCTGCAACACATGCTCACCTTATTAGCTGGACTTTTCTCATTTATAGTGGAAAAGATGACACTTTCTTGTCATTAAATGATCTGCTTTAGTCACATTTACGCTATCTGGTCAGTCATATAAGAAATCAGGGGATACCTCATAATAACTTCAGCCAAAGAACAGACAAATGTTAAAGAGAGCAAGGCATGAGGTTGATACAAAAAGGAGAGTGTTTCAAAAATCTTGCAAGCGAGTATAAAGGACTGGTTGTTGCATCACCTGCTTCCACAGCTCGACCCTTTTACCATGGCAACGGTATGCCGGTTGGGTCGTCAAATGTGGGTGTAGAAAGAAGCCTAGAGGAGGAACAAGAGAGTGTTTAGTATGTTAGAGCTGCAAGGACAGGCTCAGTATTACTGCATTGAAAGAGTTGCATCACTGAAGAGGAATCCTCCCCCTGTGGCTTCATCTGTTTCTCTGTTGATTGTGTAAATCGAAGAGGCGGGAATATCTTAGCAATGGGGTCTCTTTGTAAAATGTCAAGAAACATTTTTCATTGCCAAAATATCTCAATATACATAGAGATTTTGGTTCAGCCCCTTGTCCAGCCTCTTGTCTGTGCACACAGGGTATACTAATGTAACCAATCATTTGTGTTTTTCCTCTTCTTCCCCTCTCATGACAGGAACAACAGAACGTGTCTGTCTGATACAGGGTACAGTCGAAGCCCTCAATGGTGTCCACAACTTCATTGCAGAGAAAGTGCGTGAGATGCCACAGAGCGCCCAGAAACCTGAACCAGTCAGCATACTACAGCCACAGACCACTGTCAATCCCGACCGTGTCAAACAGGTGAGATACTGGAAAGTCACTGGATCATGAGGATGTGTGGCCCCTATGCAGTATGAACAATTCACTTTAAGGACACCTTGTTTATTAGTTGCCAGCCTTGTTTTCTGGGCCATGACCCACAGTCTGGTAGGGTCAGGAAAATGTGAGTGTATCTGGTTATTTATACCTCCAGTCCTTTGTAGCTAGTCAGAGCTGTGTGGCAGCTGCACCCTAAACCCCTGGGATTAACGAATCACTGAGCAGAGCAGAGGCTGGTATACCAGTCACAAGAAAAATTAATGGCACTGTTTGCAATTTCCTGGTTTTCTGCATAAATTGCTCATGAAATCTGATCTCATCTTCACCAAAGTCACAAATATCATCAAACACAATATTTCTAAGCTGATAAAACACAAACAGTCATGATCTTTCATGTCTTTGTTGAACACACCAATTAAACTTGCAACGTGATGGTGGAAAAAGTAATGACAACTGTTTTAATAAGTGGTTGAACCACCTTTAGCAGCAACAGCCTCAAGCAAGCACTTCCTGTAGCTGTGGATTAGACCTGCACAATGTTTAGGAGGAACTTTGGACCATTCAGTAATGGCAACACTTGGCTTCTGATGTCACTAAACATCAACTGGAGTCAGGTGTTAGCAAACCTGGAGTCCAGTCAATGAAACGAGAATGGAGGTGTGGTTTACATCTACCCTGACTTATAAACACACTCAAACAGTGTTGTGTGCTATTCACAAGCAGCATCAGCTGATGCCAGCTATGCCTCACAAAAAAGGGATCTCAGAAGACCTACGATCAAGAGTTGTTGATTTGCATGTAGATGGTAAGGGTTACAGATTCATCTCAAAGACTTCAGATAGTCATCAGTCCACAGTTAGACATGCTGTCTACAAATGAAGACAATTTGGTTCTGTGGTTACTCTCCATAGAAGTGGGCGCCCAGCCAAGATCACTCCAAAGGCACAACACAGGACACTAGAGTAACAGCTAAAGACCAGAAGGAGTCATTGGAGTTGGTTAACTTCTCAGTTCATGAGTCAGCCATTTGCAAAATATTGAACAGGCATGGTATCCATGGCAAAACACCCCAGAGGAAGCCATTGCTCTTTTATGTATCAAAGACCACCTTGACACTCCCAATTGTTTGGGAAGAACACACACCACTAGGTATGCCATAAAAAGAGAACTGCGTACCAACATGAAAACATCATCCCAACAGTGAAGTACAGTGGAGGGAGCATCATGATGTGGGGCTGATTTGCTGCCTCTGGACCTGGACCACTACCCATTGTGAAGGGAAAATGAATTCCCAAGTTTATCCAGCTATCCTACTAGATAATGTCAGGGTGGCTGTCTGCAAGATGAAGCTCAGAACAAGTTGGGTGATGCAGCAGCACAATGACCCTAAACAATGAAGTAAATCTACTACAGAACTGCTTTGGAGACACAAACTCCACCTTTTGGAGTGGCCTAGTCAGAGCCCAGACCTCAACCCAATAGAGATGCTGTGGAATGATCTCAAGAGAGCTGTTCACACCAGATGTCCTAAGAATATGGCTGAGCTGAAGCAGTTCTGTGAGGAAGAATGGTCCAAAATTCCTACTGAACATTGTACACGTCTAATCCACAGCTACAGAAAGTGCTTGCTTGAGGTTGTTGCTACCAAAGGTGGTTCAACCACTTATTAAAACAGTTGCCATTGCTTTTTCCACCATCACTTTGTATGTTTATTACAGTATGTGTTCACCACTTTGTAAGTTTATTACAGTATGTGTTCAATAAAGACATGAAAGATCATGACTGTTTGTGGTTAATCAGCCTAGAAACATTGTGTTTGTTCATATTTGCGACTTTGGTGAAGATTAGATAGGATTTCATGACCAATTTATGCAAAAAAACAGGAAATTGCAAACAGCGCCATTACTTTTTCTTGTGACTGATGCCCCTCTTTCTTTTGAGCATTTATGATGTTAAATGTGTCTTTTGTTACTGTTTATTGCTACTTCACTGTTTCTGTTTCTCTCTAGGCCAAACTGATTGTGCCAAATAGCACAGCTGGCCTGATCATTGGCAAAGGTGGAGCCACAGTCAAAGCAGTGATGGAGCAGTCAGGGGCTTGGGTGCAGCTCTCCCAGAAACCAGAGGGCATCAACCTGCAGGAGCGAGTAGTAACCATCAGTGGGGAGCCCGAACAGAACCGCAAGGCTGTGGAAATCATAGTCCAGAAGATCCAGGAGGACCCTCAGAGCAGCAGTTGCCTCAACATCAGCTATTCTAACGTCTCAGGGCCAGTGGCCAACTCCAACCCCACTGGCTCACCCTACGCTAATACAGCCGAGGTGCTGCCCAATGCAGCTGCTGCAGCTGCTACCGCCTCCCGCCTTTTGACAGGAATGGGCGCCTTCCCTACAGCCATGTCCAGTTTTTCTGGCAATGATCTGCTGGCTATCACCTCAGCCCTCAACACACTGGCCAGCTATGGCTACAACACTAACACCCTCGGCCTGGGCCTCAACCCTGCAGCTGCTTCTGGGGTCCTTGCTGCAGTAGCAGCTAGTGCAAAACCGGGTGGCGCCGGCGGCGGCAAACCCCGCGTGCCCTCCTATGCTAGTGATGCCTCCAGCAGTGCTGGCCACCCTGCTACAGGCCTCGGCGGATTCTCCCTAGGTTCTCTAGCAGCTGCTACAGGGGCTTCCAATGGTTATCTAAATGCTTCATCCCCACTGATGGCCTCCTCCCTATTGGCAACAGAGAAGCTGGCAGATGGGGCCAAGGATGTGGTTGAGATTGCTGTTCCTGAGAATCTGGTTGGTGCCATTTTAGGGAAAGGAGGGAAAACGCTGGTAGAGTACCAGGAGCTAACAGGGGCCCGCATCCAGATCTCCAAAAAGGGAGAGTTCATTCCTGGTACTCGGAACCGTAAAGTTACGATAACAGGGTCGCCAGCCGCTACGCAAGCAGCACAGTATCTGATCAGCCAGCGGATCACTTACGAGCAGGGCGTACGCGCTACCAACCCACAAAAAGTGGGCTAAAAGGAAAAAGAAGAGGAAAGAAGGAAAGGATGAAGACAGAGACAGAAGGGCATTGAGAGGATGATGATGAATCGAAAAAGAAACGTCCAAATATCTGTTTAATATTTCAGTATCAAATGAGAGAATCACAAAGGAGGAGGTGGGGGAGACAACCAAGATAAGTGTGTGTGATATGTGAATGTGTTTTTAGGACTAACGTCCTGATGTTTTTAAAAGTTTGTGTCGAGTCCTTTTGATGATGGTGATCAGAGTAAGCTGAACTGGTCCACTGCCAAGCTGCAGATTCAAGGGTGAGGCTGTATGGTTTCACCCTTCTCCAAAACCTCATAGCTGTTTTCTTTTTCCTTTGTTTTAAATTTTATTAAATTTTTTGTGGGTTTTAATTTCAGTTGCAAACCTCAGCTCCCGGTGAGTTGAGAATGTCAGATGAAGTTCCAGCCAGCTACTAGAGCTGTTTTACAAGCCTTGCTCTTTGTATACAATGCGAAAGGCATTGTTAACAGGGGAGAGGTTTTATGCTGAGCACCTGAGGTCATCTCAGTCTATGGGGAAGCAATCTGAGTATAATTTCTTTAAAGAAATCGTATCTATTTTGACATATGTTGAATTCTGGCTCATATAATTGAAGTTTCTAAATTTGGGTATTTTATATTTTCATCCTTTTTTATTGACATGATCTCATTCAAACACAAATAGATTATTTAAACCTGTGAATGCAGGTTGATCTGAATGTAAAAACAGTATTAGCCTATTGCTATTTTTTATTTACAGGGATCAAATATTGTGTTGCAGTGAAAGAAATGTATAACTCAAACCCAGTCTGAACTTCACTACTGCTGTCCGCAAGTATAGTTCAGGGGTTAAATAATCAATGTGAGAGGATAGAGGAGACACACAGGAATGTATAAATATATTTTACATGAACACACGTAGATGATGTTCCCACAAATGCACAAACATGGAAGCATATTTGCATATTCAGTCACAGCTACAAACACACAGAAATATGTTTTGTTTAACCCTTTCTTGGTGCTATAGGATTAGGTTTATATCTCTTTTACCATGAAATCAGAATTGCTCTGGCGACTAATCTCTTTACTTGATTTAAACTAAGTGGATGTGTCGTCCAGCCATTAGTAGCCCATTGGATCTGACCTAGCCTTGAAACCAATGAAAAATGATTGATTTTAGCATTTCATGATCAAAAATAATACAGTCTTAATATGTTGTCCACTTTCCTTCCCTTTTTTTTTTCAAAAAATTGGCCATACTCTGGATTTTATCTGACAACATTTTTTGCCTTTGTCACACATTTGTAACATGCAAGAATTAAATTCAAGCTCAGACTACCTTGAAGCAGTGTCTAACCAGTTCAGTTTGCAAAGGGAACAAAGCACTACTAAAGCATTTTGATAAGAAAAGCAGTATGAACCAATATCTGTGAACAAAGAAACTATTGCCTTTATATTAAGGGTACCAAATAGTCACGAGACATACACTAATGAAAGGGAAGTAAACTGACACTTGAAAAGAAGGTTTGGGCTCACTTTTTCTGTGAGCCTTCCTTCCCAATTTGCATCAAGACAAAAAAGAAAAAAAAAAGCAGTTCATCCAGGCAGCCTGTTATCTTTCCCAAAACATGTTAATGCTCACTAAGTTTGGTGAAGCACATAATAAAACATAACGAAATGTTTTGGCATCATTGTCTTTTATGGGCAATTGTTTGTCTAATGCAGGGAGGCTAATCGTCAAGTGCATTTCCAAGCACTCAAACATTATCTTGGCTTCCTTGTGTGCTGCTATCCATGGTGTTCATCCTGAGTACACTGGGTCTCTGAAGACTGCACTGTGAGACATTAAGAACACAATGTAAAGTGTGTCTGTCCCTGCTTGGGATGTGAGTATATTTTAATGTGCACATCTATGTCACATACACAAGACCTATCAGTACTGACAGAAGGGATATCACCACAAGAGCATTTATACTGCAGCGTCTTGTGATGTTTCTGTTTACCAGTACCAATGCACTGCACTTAAATTAGCGGATGTTTCCTGATCAGTGAACCACAAATTATTCTCACCACATTTTTCTGCACTATTAATCTTCAGTCCTAATACACCCACTTCCCCACTCTAAAGACATCTTTCAATTGTCCACATCAACCCAAGCTCTATGATCAGCTTCCTAAGTACACGGCTGTGAGGGTTGGTGCTGCGTAGTGTCCAAGAAAATCAGAACCACTCCCATTTTTGGGGTGGGGGGGGATTTAATGAAGAGCCTTTCCCCTTTTTATTTTCATAATTCATGATGGAAAGTTAAAACAGTTTCATTTTGTCTGAACATCATGCATTGCAATTACAACAGTGAGCCTTTCTTCCTAAGTGATATCTTTCCTTTCACTACGTGTCTGGAAAGCATCACAGTCATCCATAACTACAATCTGGCCACTAGTGAAGTCATAGCATAAGATAACCTTTTACTGCCCAAGATTTTAGCATATAATAAATAAGATACAAGCACAAAACAAGGGGATGTTTTATCAATGCAACTGGACTGCTTGCCTGCAGAGAGCTCTTCTTCAAAGCTCTCTGATCAATACATTGTGCCAAATACTAGTCCTCTGTGCCCCTCATTGACTTTCCTCTTTCTCTCAACATTTTATTCCCCTGCATGTTGCTGTTTCTCACCATTCTGAAAAGTCCTCCTGTGTCCTAATGCCCTGTCTGTGCTTCCTCCTACACTGTGCTCTCCCCCTCTTTCTCCTTCCTTCTGTCTTGTCTTGTCATGGGTGGTGTGTCAGGTGTGCTGCTGGTGGGAGTTATGCACATTAGGTCATAAGGTTATGAAAAGATTTTAATAGGCTGTAGAGTTCATAAGGCTGAAATGCACAGAAAACACCTGCCTCCAAAACTGTGACACCCAACCAGCTCAAAGTATCAAACCCCCTCTATCAGAAGAACAAGTAGGATTTAGAAAGGTTTAGACTGTGAACTATGGCCTTTTAAGGGAAGAGAAAGTGTTTTGTTTTGTTTTTCCCAAAAGAAGGCAGATCTTGGTTGACAAAATATTCATATGTTGGCTGAATAAACTGAGCATACATTTCAGCCACTAAACAAAGTATAGTAAGGACAGAATGCATAAGATAGTGACAGCCAGGTGAGAACTTGTTTGTGACCTCAAGCCGAAACAATGACATCCTTTATGCATATCCTCTTATCTGAAAAATGACTAGAATTCATTTCTGTGGAATACAATATGTCATGTCATATGATCTATATGTACTTTATTGTAGCTATTCTAGTTTGTAGTCCAAATGCAGTCCAGCGTTGTCAATACAATGTGAACTATGTTATATTTGTGTGGATGATGAGAGTGCCAACTAAGCCTGACTAAGATTAGCTTCGCGATTTGTTTGTGCATTACGATGACTCATCATCGACCGGTGGTGTCCATATTTCTGTCATTGATGATTTAGTTTGACAGTAAGAAAATGTAAAGAATATTGGAAGCAATATAGTAGCATGTTGTCCTGTTTTGTGTTTTATGTCTGTTGTATGAACCTTTGAAATTACTAAGATTTTGAATGAATAGGTTTACATGTACTTTTTGTAAGTTATGAAAATGCTGCTATTTGATAAGTAAACTATACAAAATATTTTAGTTGAAAAGATGTCTGGTCTGTTGATTAGAAACATGCTCTAAAAGGCTGGAGCATAAAACGAGGTGTATAGAATACTATACAGTATTGGTAAGATAGTAAAAGTAATAATAGACTCCATAGTACAACCTGTGCCAAACTAGACCTCCGCAGCTTCTGAAATTGTAGATGTGCGATCAAATGTTAGATATCAATAACTTGTTTAGAAGTACTGATCAAGTGCCAATCAAACACTGTCTTTTAAGTTATGAAAAGATAATCAAATACATTACTTAAGAAAACAAAGGACAAAGAACTTTTTGTGCATTGTTTTATCCCATAGGTACATAGAGTAAGAGTTAAAGATTGTGATTTTTATGGATCCAAGTTGTTTTACACTCCATGCATCCCTTGTGTGTTTGTTTGACCTGTGGCTTAAGTACAGCTGTTTTCTCACAAATGTCTCTATAGGCCAGCATGGACTAAGCATAACATGTTATAAGCATTCATGACATAGCCATTAACAATCAAAAATGTGTTTGTGGAGTTAGGTGTTATCTTTTTGCACGTCTTCTATTGCATGGTATCAAAGTAAATTATGGAGGAAAAAATTTTACAAAAATTTGCGAGGTGTCTCGCAGCATTCAAAGACATAACACTGCATGCAGTCAAATGTAAAGCACTTAAGTTTACTCGCCTCATGTTTAAAACGTTGTTTTTTTATGTTGTGAGTTGGGAGGGAGCTCATTATTGTCATGTTGGCCCGCAAAAAAGAAAAGACACAGACACACATAAACATTTCAGATTAAATTCTCATTGATCAAGTTCATCTCTCTACACATCATCAGAGAAGATATATTGATTTTTAGGTACAGTAAGGAGTATTAAAAATGTGAAACAAGCAAACTGAAAATGTTATTCAGTGCATTGGCTCCTTGTGTTTTGTTTTTGTTTGTTTTTTTGTTTTGCTTTTGTTTTTAGGATATCAGGCATGCATTTCTTTTGCAAACAGGTTGAACCTCATATAACCTGTCTCATAATTTAGATTTTTATGCCACAGCTTGAAAGCCCAGATCTAAACTATGAATGTACCCATTTACTCTTTTCTTTAAATATATTTCTGTCGAATGTTATGGGTCTTTAATGTAAATTCAGGGCAGGAATGTCAAATACATGTAGAGTTAATATCTATGTCAATAACAGATTTCAGCTATAGTCAGGTAGGCCACACATGGCCACAGTCATGAACCAGACATGTTTTAACACAACTTCCAATTCGCTGTCAACATTATCGTGTTTGTTTGGTGTTGCATAAATGCACTTTACTGATCAGTGGGTCATACTGGGTGTGAAATGAAACAAACCATGTTGGCTTTCACAAGCTGTTCTTTTGCCATTCTTTGCTGTTGTTACTTTGATTTATTTATTCCCTGATCCTGTTGGGTCTCATGAATGATGGAAAGGGCTGGAGTCTCAGACAAAACAGAAAAGTAGCACCTGTTTCCCCACATGAAGGCTTCTCCTTCACATTCCCTTCACCAGAGATTTGTGTCAATCACTGAGTGCTTTGTTTTAACTAACATGCGAAACCAGGTGGGATCTGTACACTTGTGCCCTTTTTGCATCTTCCTTTCCTTTGAATTCCAAATTACAAAAAGGTTTGAATTTCTCCAGCAAATTGGGATTTAAGCACTGGGGTGAAGGTCCTGAGGGATGCAAGCTGAAGGTCTGGCTGATGTAACAGTCAGATCTGAGAGGCATAATCGGCACCAGCAAAATGAAGTTTGCCTCAGCCCCCTCAAATAATGAAAATCATGGAGGAAACTGATCACACTTTTGAAGGCCTAGTATGATATGTCTCTTTATTTTTTGTTACAAACCGCTGTCATTGCATTTACAGGTTCACATCTGAATGCCAAATGAACTACAGTATCATTCCAAAAGTGTTTTCCACTCCAAATGTACCCCCTACATTCACCCGCCCCCCCTGGAGCCCTTTCACATGAAGGCTAAGACTGGTTTCAAATGCTACAAACTGGATAAGGCTGCTTGCTCCTCTCTTAAAACCTCTTCTACCTGAGTCTCACTTTCTCAGCCTACACAATATCACGATTTGTGTTTCATTGCACAGAGCACCTGCTACTATGTCCACCCTTTAAACAGATTAATGTATTTCTGAGCCCTTTTTGTCTGAGAAAATACAGAATTCTTGCCAACCAGACATGAGGCCATTTTTATCTTTGACCCTTTGAACCTCCCATGAACTTAGTTGGTCTTCTCCATCCCCAAGAACGTATGTATGTTTTGGATTTTACATCACTTTTACTGTCAAACTCTGAGACTGTTCTTTTATTTTGTGGCTATCTGGACAATTCTGCAGGGTTGAATGCTTGCCCATAAGTGTTAACTGGAGAAAGCATGCCAGTACCTTGCAAACATTTTCATGTCATTGTGAATTTTCTCTTGGGGTTCAGTTTTACTTTGTTTGACCTCTGTTCTTTGCATCTCAGAAAAAAATGGACTGACAGCATAAAATCATATATTCCAGCCTGAGCAAAGTGATGTTTTGTTGATTGGGTACATTTCTCTGAAAGTCCACAGTATTAAAGGGCTTTCTAGGATATATGTCTTTTCAAATTAAAATGTCCTCTGAATATGTTCACAAATGAGAGGAAATGCCTTCATGTGCCATTTTAGACAGTGTGAAAGCTTTCAATGGCAAATATTTGTCAGCAAGAATGCCAAATAATACCATACTGAGCCAAAAGGCAGCCAGCCTACATAACTAAATGTTAGATCACGGGAATGGTTACGTCTCAGTTCCACTCCCTTTGAAAAACATCACCCTAATTGTATGACATTTGAGCTCATGTACCATTATTGTTATGCTGCCAGTCTGTTTTCTGCTTTTGTCAGAGAAACATCTCAGAAGCAGTATTTTTTCTAAATGATACACTGTTGATAAAAAACAGCTACTATGGTGAGGGAATGAGAGGATTTTAAGTGTCATTGTTTTTATTATTAGTTAATTTGAACATTATTCATTAATAGATTTAACGGTAATGACTATTTAATGTAACTGTAGTACTGTGTTTGTAAAAGAAATTCAGTGAGTTGTGTTTTATGACTCGTGGACTACCAGTGAAGTCAGCATTTCAGTGTTAATAATGGAATTGTTTTTTAAAGATTATTTTTGCGACGGCAACAAAGAGTCATTATAAATGTTCATTTTAACATCACTAGTCTTCTGTCTCTTTTATTCACCGCCTTGCCTCTCTGCTCTGTCTTACTTGAGTGAAAGGTCGAGTGTTGATACAATGGAAAACGCAAATAGATCGATTTCTGAAGTGCTGAATCTGAACGCATGATAAATGTGAACAAATGCTGTGTTTACATGGACACAATAAGGCTCATGAGGAATCCAACTGAATTGCAACAATTATGTGGCGAGAAGCAGCATAAATTTCACAGCTGGTTTACAAGGATTTATTGATAGTTGGGTTTGTTTACAGAGGGCAGGGTGTAAGACAATGGATACTACATTTAGTACCTCATTATGTACTTCACCTTAAAAAGCCGGTTTTGTTGACTCACAGTGGCAGTGACTTTTGTTAGAGCCCTCCTCCACACACGAGCATTTTGTCTCATTTAGTTAATCATCCAAGGGAAAGCTTTAACCATTGCTGCGATTACACTTTGAACAGAAGACAGTTTGTTGAAAAGCTGAAAGATTATGGGCTTTTACAGACTGAGGCCAATCCAACATCATTAGGGTGTCTACACATGTACACATCCTATTTCAAGGTGTAATCAGGTTACAATAAGTGTAGACATGTGTGTACCACAGTAGGGCTGAAATTCATTAATTTTGATTTTGCCAAAAGAGGAAAAAATTCAACAAAACAAAAAAATTCTGTGAGGCTGTAATGTAAGCATATGCCAACATGCCGGCAGGCATGCCATTGGTTAATTAGCTAATTAGCACCAAAGAAAATCTTTTAGGATTATAGTATCACCTTTAGGAATAGCGGTGCTTTGGTCTGAAAGCCAACATCAGTACGGTGACATACTCATAATGTTTCATGTGTATTATAATCACCATCTTTTGTTAGGGTGTTTAGTATGCAAACACAAAGCGGTGTCATTAGATTTAGTTTAGTTTTAGTTTTGTATCTGGTCATAAATCAAATTATTGAATTGGATGAATGTGACAGATTTAATGCTAACCCATCCAACAGTTGTCAAGACATTTTATTCAAAACCATAAATGTTTTATAGTAGAAAAAAATCAGGGAATTATCTAAGTGATTCTCTGTGAACCACGAACATCTGTACACAGTTTTGTGCCAATCCATCCAATAAATGTTGAGGTAACTGAAAAACTACTGGTGGTGCTAGCCGAAAAATTAAGAGATCATCAAAATGTAGTAGAATTCATCCTCTGGGGACCATGGATTTCCGTACAAAAGTTCATTAAAACTAATTCACTAATTGTTGTTGAGATATTTTAGCATCGACCAAAGCAGTGGAACAACTAAGAGACTGACATAACCATCCACACAGCCATGGCACTAGCTTGGCTAAAAAAGATTGTTTGCCCTAGTATTTTCCTTTTTTGTGGTCTGAGTGAGCATTCAGACCGTCATGGACAAACTCCCTAGTGAAGCCCTGCATGGTGATGAAAGTGTTAAAGCTCCTTATAGTAGGATGATGCACTACGCTATTCAAATCACAGCAGCTCTGGGACTGATTATACATCCATTGTTTAATCAACTGTACCTAATTAGATTTAATGTGAGAATTCTTTGTAGCTGTGGTCAGAGTCAGAGGTGGATAATATGACTGAGTAATATTTGATATTTAATACGAGCCAATATTAGTAGCACAGTCCCAGTCGTTTCTACATAGAACCGTACATTTCAAAGTTCTGCAATTTGTCATACCATGAATTTTATGTAATGACTTCCATGAATCAATCAGCACACAGCCTTTGCTCTGACATTAACTAACTTTTTCACTGCCCAGCAAATGCACTGTGAATCTTCTGAGCTCAGCTACACAAGCAAGGAAGGTGACGTCACATACATCTGGCTGCAGCTACACTGAAATCCTACTCAGTCTATATTTTTCTGAGAATTAGTGGCATAGCAACCGGAGGTGCAGTATATATTCTGTAATGGACACATTATACAATGGTGGATTCTTTAAAGGTTTTTTTTTTAATACTTGGTAGGTTGAGATCTGTGCTATTTAGACTTGAGGAAGAAATCAAATAAATGTTTTCAGTATTTTCCATCATTCCAACAGGAATGTTATTTGGGCTCTTGGATGACAGCTTGTTGACTATTAGTGCATGAGAGCAATGACCCCTGTCTGGGTAACTTCTGAAAAGTGCCCAGTTATTGTATGTCTACTTTTTTTCTCTATAACTGCTCTGGAGATAAAAATGTATTGCTAATTTGATTTAAGTACCTTTGGATAAAAATCACTGAATTCCTTCCAGGTTGCTTGTGGAATTCAGTGAAAGATGCACAAGAGCAGATGGGCTTGCTCTGTGGAAAACCTGCATGTAGCTTGCATAACAGTTATCAGAATGACTAACTAACTTGCAAATATGTCCTGGCAAATAGGCATGTAACTGCATATGTAAAGTCCCTGGGGTCATTGATATTTGGGGAGTTACATGTTGCCAGTTTGAATGAATGCATTCTTCCGTCTAATCCCCTATAGTTCATCCCTCCTTTTACCATGCCATAACAAAAATATTTGGAATACTTAGAATATCTGGCATGCCGCTTAGAGTACTGATGAAAAACAGCAGCATTTTCAGTCTTACTCATCTTATTTGAACCCTTATCATCCAGTATCTGTCTTAATCACACTGTTCAATCTGCTTTTTGTCAAGCCCTTAAGACCAAAAGCACCCTCCTAACGTTGCAAAGGCAAGAAAATTTTCTTAGCTTCTGATGTGTAGTGACAAAGTGAAATCTTAACTGAAAATTTTCTGCACATCTCAACCCATCCCTTGTCTCATTTCTACCTTGAATTGGGGTGCAAAACCCTGCAGCAGTATACATTTAAGGCACATTTGATTCCTGGTGTGAGATAAGATAGCAATGGGCTTGAATGATAAAATTGCGTTGTCAAGGTAACAGGTTGTTCTGAAAGCTGCAAATATGTCATACTGGGGATGCTCCTATGAAATATTTCAACCTGCACCCTCTGCAGCACTAAAGTACAGAAACTCTGCATTTCACTCCCTCAAAGTTGAACAAGTAACTACAAATGTAAAGTGGTTTGCATTCATAATTCAAAGACATTTAATAGCTAGTCTGTCTTCATCAATATTATTGAAATGATTCACTGCAAATCTCATTTGCAAAACCAAATCATGGCTGTCGGAAACCTTGAGGTAGCACAGTGATTTCTTTTAATGATGAATGAGAAAAAAGGTGGGGACTGCTAGAGAATAGAGATATTCTGAGGCACCATTTAATATGGCTCCTGATGTAACCATGGATACCTCTGTTTCATGGATGGAGTAATTTTAGCTGGATTGGGATCTGAAGGATAGATATCACTGTTTCTACAGTGCACATCATATATGATCACATCTTAAATATCAGGTTACAGATATATTGAAAAATGTGCATTCATGTCTTACAGTTAATGTCATAGTTGTCATATGTAGTGTACTGTATGACATGTGGTGATAATAAGACATTATTATAATATAATGCACTGCACAGTGAACCACTGACATATGAGAGGTTTTGTTTTCAGAAAAATGGTGCATTCACAGAATCCAGGGAGGTATCACAAATGCAATGCCCGACTATACTGTATATATAATTTAGTAACCTGGTAAACAGCAGATGTGAAAACAAAGACTGTAGTTTTGCAAATTATATGGCAGCAAATTTGTGAGAAAAAATGACAGAGCTGAGGTTACTGGGGGAAAACTGCTGTCATAATCATCAGCGTCATATAACTATAGGTGTTTATGAACATGTTGTGATTGTATTTATAAATTCTGTTTCTGTGTGTGGTGAGAGTGCAGAATGGTAGCACTGAGCCTTATCAGTTGCAGAGAGAGCTTGCACTGTCAAGGCAACCATGATAGTGCTGACCACAGGGGGATTAAGAGGGGATGTAGCTATGATAAAAAACAAAGCAGCACTAAGAAGAACTCAACTAGTTTCTTGAAGTCAAAAAATAAGACACTCATCTGATCAACTTAAAGTGTGAGTGAGTTAGAAAACTTGCAGGAATAACTATTGTACATGTTTTTACCCACTGTTATCATAAATGTCTGAAAGATTATTTAAAACTGACAATGATAAATGCTGCCATGGCCTTCTGTTTCTTATTTTTAATGTGAAAATAATTTAATCAGACTTTAAAGGTTATAAACACATCTCAGATATGATTTCTTTGCTAACCTGGGTGTGTCGAGGAGCCTCTTGTGAATTGATTTATTATAAAAAAAAAGATCCATCAGAAACCTTGTCATGTTTAAAAAGAGTGTTTTGGATCCCATCTACATATTATTAAATTTAAAAAACAGACAGACATTTATTGGTCTGATTAAAATGTAGAAGTGCAGACTGAGGAATTATAATCAGTGAATAAACGCAGTAACATGAGCCATTAAAATGTGCATATATTTGTTTATATTTGTATCATTATTGACAGATTTGCATGTATTTAAATGGTTCACTACTAAACTATCTGCATGGTGAATGTAGAGGACAACGTTATGCTGTCTCAGCTCTGTCTGATGCACTTTGACTCCACCTGCTGGATTTATTCAGCAACATGTTTGTTGTGCAAATACCATCGACAGTTGCTCAGAAATGTCAGCATTATGAACTATAAAGATGAATATGACTCAGATTAGATTAGATTCAACGTTACTGTCATTATACATGTACAAGTACAAGGCAATGAAATACAGTTTAGCATCTAACCAGAAGTGCAATAACAGCAGTGTGCAGTTTTTACTAATTTACTGATGGATAGGTACAATTGATATTTACAGTAAGATATGTAGGGTAATGTACGATATACAACAGACTTTATGGATTTAAATGACAAATAATGGACCAAGTACATTAAGCTTATAAAACACTAGTGCAATGGGATGAAATGGAATGAAATATTGCAGAATAAGAAGATAACAATACGTTACATGAGTGAACAGTTCAATGAATGTAAATAGTGCAAAGATAAATTTACAGTATCTGCATATGTACAGTGTGCAAATGAATAACAGAGCAGTATTCTGTGAGTATGTGTAAATTAACAGATCACTTCAGTGTTACAGGTAACAGAAATGTATTGCATTAGTTCTGGGAGGAGAGATGAGAAGTGTTCCCTGTGTGCACCCTCAATGGCTGGAAGTGGAGTCCCTGTGATGCGCTGGGAAGTTTTCACCACCCGCTGCAGCACCTTGCAGTTGGAGACAGAGCAGTTTCCATACCAGACACAGCTGGTCAGGATGTTCTCGATGGCACAGCGGTAGAAGTTCACCAGGATGGCTGAAGACAGGTGGTTCTTCTTCAGTGTCCTCAGGAAGAAGAGGTGCTGGTGAGCCTTCTTAACCAGGCTGCAGGTGTTGGTGGACAGGACAGATCCTCTGAAATGTGGGTCCCCAGGAATTTGAAGCTGGTGACATGTTCAACAACCATCCCATTAATAGGCAATACTCAGTAGGCAAAACGAACTGTAGGAGTTTGCTGCTGCCTTTTGAAGCAGTTCTGGAACATAACAGAGTAGAGAGATGACTGAAAATGATGGGACAGAGAGATGGAATGCAAGCTATAGCAAGGGTTCCTGCCTGGACTTGAACCAGCGATGTTCATAGTCAGTACCTTGGCCTCCAGGGCAACCCAAAAGATGAACTGCAGCATTTGACAGTTTTATCTGTTAATGCTGTTCCACAGAAACAAATGCAGTTATCCTTGATATGGTTCTGCATATTCTTGATCACTGAAAAAAAATGTTCCCTTGGCAGTCCGGCATAATCCATTTTGAGTGTGAGGTAATCACTGCTTATATGATCCAATTATCACAGAATAGGATTTTGTCAAAATAAATGAAAATACAAATTTCTCTCCCTTCTTATTAAACTGTGTTTAATTATTCAGTGCAGTGTGTTATCATCTTTAAATGTGCCCCAAGTCCAATGGCAAATCTTCAGAGCGATTGTTAGGGCTTTTTAGCAGTGCTCCAGTACCACTGTGTGAAAGTGCTTAACTGCTATAAAATTGTACTTCTCCAAAGAAATCAAAGTAGCAAAGTACAACTGAACCATTTATGTTACAGAAATAGCTTATCTGTAAGGCAGAAGGTAACACACTGCTGAAGCTCTAGTGGAGCCTCATCAATCATGTGCAGTAGTTTTAAAATGAGGATCCAACTGGATTCTTGAAGGAGCTCCAGGAAGGTCTCCAGCTAAATGCAGATCAGTGTTGTCCTATTGTAGCATTCACTAATGATTACAAGAGTTACATTTATGCTTACACATCTTATGAAAATATGTTTGCGATTGCACAAGCAACAATTATGGAATCAATTATTCTGCTCAAGAACTATAAATCAAACCACAGATAGATTAATCTTAGTCTGTAATCTAGTATAGTAGACTGGTAATTATTGCTATTATATAATATATGTACTGCCAATACAGCTGACTAGATCACATGTTGTTTTGGGATAGGAAAAGTATTTGTTCCACTTTATGTGCCACAAAATGTCTCTATTTATATGTCTCTGTGGAAGTCAAAATTATCCCGGTGAAACTATAAGCAAATGTAATCACAGTTGGATGATATGTTTTTATATGGTTTAATAGACCTACCGATCTTCTACAGTCACTCTTCTGTGTGTTTATTAAATGTAAAACAAGTCAAAAGCCCTGTGTAGTCAACATGGTTTGGTTCCTCAGGGGAACAAGCATTTCAATGGAGTATATCTTCAAAACTAAGTACTGCATAGCTTATAGACTAACACTACTGACACATGATTCCAGACCAAATGGTGGCAGGAGTATTCTTCAAATTAGTTAATACAGTGCGCAAATTAAATTAATAATAAAAATAGAAATGAAAAGGCGAAAGGGAAAATGCAACAAAGATGTTGTAACTATGTAAAGATACATAATTTGTCCCGGAAGTGTTGTCGAGTTATGACCATACGCCTATGATACAATTTGCACTTCAATGGGAAATGTTCATCGCTCCGAAAGACAAATGATTGTTTATATATATTTTTTTCAATAATGAAATGTACCACTACACATTTTCAATCCTTTACGTACAAGGTATAACCCGAGTGACGCTTTATCACACCGCGCATGCCTAGAACAAACGACCCGACACCGTTTCGGACGAGAACAATGACTTTTGTGTCATTTGCGAACTTCAGAAGTTTAACAGAGGGGCCCCCAAATATCTGCACATTATGGTTGACATTTACGATGACTGACATTTGAAAGCACTTCTTTAAGTGCTGTCAGCGCAACTAGACACCAGGGTATATAAACAGACAATGTGCATGGTGTCAGGTCAAAACGGGAATTTGATTTACTGGCAGTCGAAGCAAAGACGGAGAGAACTGCGAGGCATCATCTTGCATCCTAGTTCCTCTCTGTAGCTTCGGTGGGGCGTGTTGAAGGAGAATGCTGCCAGATGAGTTTAGTGGAAGTCACGGAAGGTCTTTTGGAGTAGCCTGCTATCAAGTTCACGAAGTGCTGTTGCTTTACGGTAAATATAAGCATAAAGTTGTAGATAATTCGTTTTGCATTAAACCCAGTGTAGAAATACAGTTGTTACAACTGTCATTCCGAGTTTTGCTGAATTTGACGTACCTAGCTGCCTTTGAAAATTAGCTGAATGTTAGCTTAGCTAGCGCCAAAGTTAATCAGCTGTGTTAGCTTACATGCTATCAGGATTCTAACTAGCTTTATATGAAAACAACAACAACAAAAACAAACAAACAAACAACAAAACAAACAAAAACAGTGCGGTTTAGACGATGGTTTAACCGCGTTAGACAGCCACGAGGGATTGGGTCAATAGCAGGGTCAGATAATTTAGCATCTTCTCGTGCGATGTTTAGCTATACTTTCACTGTTACGTGTAGCGTTGGTATAAATTTAGCTAACGATGCTTCGTTACTTAACATACCCAGTCTTAACAGCAATGTACAAGTATGATATTTTATGAAGTTCAAGTTTTTAAAGTTGTGTTATTGTAAGGATTAGTATTAATCCGTTTTTCGCAATACAGGGTGCGGCACTGAAGCTAATCCATCATAGGAAAGCTGGTGGGTGTGCACAGGGGGGAGCCTTCACATCCTGTTAGCCTCTGTTCCACTAGCTTCAGTGACTATGTAATCTGCACACCAGTCAGTGTTATTAAAACCAGTGGCGGTTCTACATTGAATTACTCCCCGGGCGAGACC